ATGTTTTTTGGTGTTTACATCCTGATTCGTTTGGACGAGAAATTTACAAGATCTGGAATCATGGAAGAGATGTATGTTTAGTTTGATAAACAGAAATAGCATACGCATTGTGTGATATTTGTTTATATGAGTTTGGTGTGAATCTTCAATAATATTTTATGTTGTTGTAGCCGGTTTGTGTTGGGTTGGGCATGATTTATTTAATGGATCGATTTTCTTGATGCTAGATTTAATGTTTGGCTTAAGAATTATGATTATGTATAAGGCAGAGGCAATGATATGGGTTTTGGTTATAATATAACATAGGTGAAGAGTTAAGGTATGAGTTAGGGACAGGTGCGTCATAAAGCTTTTGGGAAAAAACTTGTGTGTAATAGAGTTTATATCCGGTTTTATTGAATGTAATGTAGTACCTATCCTCAGTTTTATTCAATGTAATGGAGTTCCAATCCTAAGTTTTATTGAATGTAATGTAGTACGTATCCTAACTTTATTGAATGTAATGTGGTACCTATCTTAAGTTTTATTGTTGTAGTACCAATTCTAAGTTTGTTTAATAGCAATTTTTCTCAGAATAAAAAAATATTACGGTTACGGGTCTAAAGTATATTAAATTTAAAACATTGTAAACGAGGTTTATGTCGATTAAATTTGAAACGGTGTAAGCGTTGATGTTTGTTAAATTTAAAACGGTGTAAACGTTGATTATGTTTCTTTAATTTATAACGGTGAAAACGTTGTGTCTTTTTAATTTATAATGGTGTAAAGGTTGTTATGTCTGTTAAAAATCTTAAGTAGTCTTTGTCTCACTACACCGTGACGACGGTGTAGTATGTCGTAATCCTCAATTTGTTAAATACGTGAGCACAACTCACGCGTGTTTGTTAACCGTGGATAAGTTCATCCTAAGCTCGTAGTAGAAATACAAAAGTGAGCGTGTTGTGTGTGTGTTTTCGTGTTTGAGTTTTTATGTGCTTTGTATTGGTGTGTTTTCGTGTGTGTCTTTTGATGTGTGTTTTGATGCGCTATTTCGTGTGTGTGTTTTAATGATTACGATTTGATGTGTGTATTTTGATGTGTGCCTTGATGTGTTAGTTTTTTGTTGTGTGTGTTTCACACGTTTATACTCTGTTATGTGTTTAATTATCTGTTAAGTTTTGCGTGTTTACACGTCTGTGTGTATATGGGCGTGCGTTTTAACATATGTGCTTTCGTGTGTACATATTAAAAAGTATGCGTGCAACAAGTGTATGCTAACTTTTGTTTTACTTCTTGCAAGGCAACGTGTTTCCCACAAGTCATTGAAGATGTCAAATCTTCTACATCACCATGTTTACAAGAACTTTCAACAAAACATTCTAGTATTACCAACGAATCCGGACATTCAACAATAGTCAGTTTTTTACAAGACATAATTTCAATAAAACAAAACATGAGCCGGCAACAAATCCGGACATTCAACACAACCAGTGCCTTTACAAGAACTTTCACAATCAAATCCGGACATTCTACTAAAACGAATGCTTTTACAAAAATAATATCAACAAATCCGGACATTCACCTCTAATCAGTGTTTTTATAAGAAATAATATCAACAAATCCGGATATTCAACTGTGACCAGCCAGTGCTTTTATAAAAATTAATATCAACAAATCCGGACATTCAACTGTAACCAGTGCTTTTGGTTCTATTGCTATAAAGAAAGGAAACAAACAGGTAAGGATAAAATCAATAGCCACTAATCAATTTCAGCCAAATTGAGAAAAATCGGATCGATCGCCTGATTCAATTCACACGTACGACAGCCCGGGTTTTCTAGGATTGGCTGGATTTGCATTTTGCCTAGAATTGTTTTTTTTTCTTTTTTTGTGTGTGCAACAAATTATGCTATAGGAAAAAAACTGGTCGTTACATAGTTAAAATTATTGTTTTAACTTTTTTGTTGTTGTTGCTGAAGTATATAAAAGAATTAAATCCTGACTTAATTTTGATTTGAAATACTGACTTTACTTGATTTTTTCAATAATAAAATATACTACAAGACTATTTTTTTCAAACAAGCTAGTCTATTTAGTGTATCATGTTTTCAAAATAGGCGAAACCGAAAGAAATTTAGTTTACCATATTTTACCTTAACAAAAATATTTTTTTTAGCATGTTCCTGTCTAACCCGGCAGATTTGTAATCCACTAATTATCTTACAAATGTGATGTTTGGTCGAGACAGCGGTAAGTGTCTAATTCAACGACCGCGCTAATACTTTACAGTGACAGTGTAAAGAGCTTTCGCTTTTCTCAATGTCACTCTGTTCTAAAATACTTTATCAGTGGCGTAGACCAGATTTTGTTTCAAGGAACTGTGTGTTTCCATATATATATATATATATATATATATATATATATATATATATATATATATATATATATATATATATATATATATATATATATATATATATATATATATATATATATATATATATATATATATATATATATATATATATATATATATATATATATATATATATATATATATATATATATATAGGCCTTATATAATGTATAAATATATGTATATATATATATATATATATATATATATATATATATATATATATATATATATATATATATATATATATATACTGTATTCATTTCCTGGATACGCCGTTGAAAAATGTTCGTTCTCCAAACCTAACGACGGACCAATCTTATCTAGGACTACTGTATCAAACTCCCCGGTATTGGCGTGTACTAGATGACAACTAGATGACAACTAGATGACAACTCCCAACGTTTTACTGACATCAACGGTTGAGTTGTTGTCCATCGACAGCACAACCTCAAGGAATGATTTCTTTATAATCATCTTACTCTTTTATTTAGATAGAACTACAAAAAGAGGTTTTCTAATCAGAAATATGTGAATGATTTATAAAAAGGTTAATTTTTTTTTTAAAAAGTTGAATACATTTTTTTATCTTTTTGTGTGATTCATTTTGTAGCTAATGGTCATAAAAACATCTCCGCCTGACACGGAAAATAACTCTATTGAAGTACAACCTCCCACGTAAAGATTAATCATTAGTCTAGTAGAAGTATCAGCTTCTATAACTAAGTTATATGAGACAGCTGCATACCTAGCTCTTGCCATATACACAGTGTTTCTTCCAGACTTTTTTCTCCGGGGGTGCACTTGAAATTTTCGGGGGGAGGGGGGGGGGGTTCGGGCAACAGTTTCCGGGGGTGGGGGGCGGGTGGGGCGGACAATGTCAAAAGTATATATTTTCTATATAAATTCCATTTCGTTCCGGGGGGGGGGGGGTTGACTTTCTTTGAAGAGATGCGTGGAAGAAACTATGCATATACACGTTTCCTTTTGTAGACACTAAAGCGCCGATTGAATCTAAAATCTGCAATGAACCCAGAGGTTTCAAGAAATTCTAGTAAAATTGCAATTCTTTCCATCCCCACTCTCAAAGAAAAATTCGAAGTGTTACATCATTCTAGAACTCTAAGTAACATTGCGATAATTTTTCATCCACTGAAGCATCACACTATGTTCCAAATAAAGCCCTCAATTTTTTTATATTCCCACGCTTAGCAGCCAAATTCAACGTTACAATATCATCAAGCAAAGCTGAAATACATCACAGAATTCCTAACTTTATTTACAAACGTAACCTACCTTTCTCTCTATCCCTACCTCCATCTCCAAAAATTATAAAGGATTTCAACTACCCCCGCAACACCACCTAAATTACAACCCTGATTCCTTAAACTCAACCACGCAATAGCCTTAATCGTTTACCCAAACTAATCCTCCACAAAAGACCATCTGCAAACTCCAGCCTTAACTCAACATTTTGACTCGGTTCATCTGACTAAACTATCCGCTTAAGTTCCAAAGCCTAGTTGCAAACTGCGACAGCCTTTCATAATTAAAACCTATTTGCAATCAGAATATCTGCCTAGTTCTATTCCTCCAACTCTTATTTCCACGTTTTTATTTAAATAATCCCCACCCTCCCACCCCTTCTCCGCCCCCCCCCCCCCCCCCCCCCCCCCCCCCCCATCCCCGGGTTTGAGCCAATATCCATGTTTAAAATTCTATCTATCAGGCCACAGCTAGACGCCTAGATGAAAAATACGTGCCACTGTTCATGATGAAAAAATGAGAGAAAACTCTATTTATCATTCATCGACGGGGCGTAGTTTTCTCCTTTTATAATTCTCTCCCTTTATAGTTTCTCTCCCTTTTACGATTCATCTCCCTTCGATATTTTCTTTCAGCTTTTTTTCTTTCTTCATTGACATCTTCTCCTCGCCTAGATGCAGAAGCAATACTAATATGTTATTGGGAGTCTAATTATTTTTTCCCCCTAATTTAGGATATTCTTTTTTTTTTGTAATGAAAGCAAATTAGTATTCCGTTGGAAATGTATTAAAAGATTTGATTAAAAAAAGAAATGTATTCTCTGGCTCGACTTTTTTGAACGAGTAATTTTATATTTTCTTTTGCCGGTGTGCTGTTGTGTAAAAAGTTTTATAATAATTGCCTTGATTGACAGTAGTGGCAATTGACTTGACAGCCGAAAATATTTCACATTTATGTGAATCAAATCTCGGTTAATGTCTGCACGATAGAAAAGCCAAATATGGATGTCATTACACACATTCCACATACCAAATATGAATGTCACTTCCCCCACACACATTACCACACACCAAATATAGATGTTAATAACCCCACACACATTACCACACACCAAATATTGATGTCATTGCCATCCACACACACATTACCACACACCAATTACGGATGTAATTATTCCAACACACACAATACCATATTATTGAAGTCACTACGATACATTCTCCCCCCCCCCCCCTTCAACCACGATACCACACACACACGCACACACACACTCACACACACACACACTCACTTCCACACGTCAAAAATGGGAATATTTATGTCAATGTCACCCAACCTCTCATACGAACACATACACATAAAGCACGTGCAAAAATCTGTGACAGCCACGTGATAAATGGGAGCCATCAGCACAGATACCAGACATCATGACGTCTGTAGCACAGATACCAGACATCTTGACGTCTGTAGCACAGATACCAGACATCATGACGTCTGTAGCACAGATACCAGACATCATGACGTCTGTAGCACAGATACCAGACATCATGACGTCTGTAGCACAGATACCAGACATCATGACGTCTGTAGCACAGATACCAGACATCATGACGTCTGTAGCACAGATACCAGACATCTTGAAGTCTGTAGCACAGATACCAGACATCATGACGTCTGTAGCACAGATACCAGACATCATGACGTCTGTAGCACAGATACTAGACATCATGACGTCTTTAGCACAGATACCAGACATCATGACGTCTGTAGCACAGATACCAGACATCATGACGTCTGTACCACAGACACCAGACATGATGACGTCTGTAGCACAGATACCAGACATCATGACGTCTGTAGCACAGATACCAGACATGACATCTGTAGCACAGATACCAGACATCCTGACGTCTGTAGCACAGATACCAGACATCATGACGTCTGTAGCACAGATACCAGACATCATGACGTCTGTAGCACAGATACCAGACATCATGACGTCTGTAGCACAGATACCAGACATCATGACGTCTGTAGCACAGATACCAGACATCATGACGTCATGTAGCACAGATACCAGACATCATGACGTCTGTAGCACAGATACCAGACATCATGACGTCTGTAGCACAGATACCAGACATCATGACGTCTGTAGCACAGATACCAGACATCATGACGTCTGTAGCACAGATACCAGACATCATGACGTCTGTAGCACAGATACCAGACATCATGACGTCTGTAGCAGAGATACCAGACATCATGACGTCTGTAGCACAGATACCAGACATCATGACGTCTGTAGCACAGATACCAGACATCATGACGTCTGTAGCAAAGATACCAGACATCATGACGTCTGTAGCACAGATACCAGACATCATGACGTCATGTAGCACAGATACCAGACATCATGACGTCTGTAGCACAGATACCAGACATCATGACGTCTGTAGCACAGATACCAGACATCTAGACGCCTGTAGCACAGATACCAGACATCATGACGTCTGTAGCACAGATACCAGACATCATGACGTCTGTAGCACAGATACCAGACATCATGACGTCTGTAGCACAGATACCAGACATCATGACGTCTGTAGCACAGATACCAGACATCCTGACGTCTGTAGCACAGATACCAGACATCATGACGTCTGTAGCACAGATACCAGACATCATGACGTCTGTAGCACAGATACCAGACATCATGACGTCTGTAGCAAAGATACCAGACATCATGACGTCTGTAACACAGATACCAGACATCATGACGTCTGTAGCACAGATACCAGACATCATGACGTCTGTAGCACAGATACCAGACATCATGACGTCTGTAGCACAGATACCAGACATCATGACGTCATGTAGCACAGATACCAGACATCATGACGTCTGTATCACAGATACCAGACATCATGACGTCTGTAGCACAGATACCAGACATCATGACGTCTGTAGCACAGATACCAGACATCATGACGTCTGTAGCACAGATACCAGACATCATGACGTCTGTAGCACAGATACCAGACATCATGACGTCTGCAGCACAGATACCAGACATCATGACGTCTGTAGCACAGATACCAGACATCATGACGTCTGTAGCACAGATACCAGACATCATGACGTCTGTAGCACAGATACCAGACATCATGACGTCTGTAGCACAGATACCAGACATCTTGACGTCTGTTTGGTCTAGATCGTCTCAACCTTGTCTGTAAGCAGGGCATTGTCTTGTCTGCTCGTATGTCCTATCGTCTGCACTGTCTGCAGGCCTTGTCGTCTGCGCTATATGCAGGTCTTATAGTCTACCCTGTATGCAGGCTTTATAGTCCGCACTGTCTGCAGGCAAGTCACATGTCTAAAACTGACCGAGCCTCGCCATAGAGACACAACATACAGCTTCCACTTACTGCAATATGTCGTAGAAAAGTGGCGAAGGCAGGGGGTTCGTGCGGGGTTACCGCCCCCCCCCCTACCCATGTATCCCCTAAATGAAAGTAGTTCCACGTTATCATCATAATAATTCCTGTGGACCCCTTGTGGAGCATAGGGACGCAACCACATCTCTATGTCGAACTCGGTTCTGGGCGATTCTTTAAAGTTGGGCCCACGACATTCCTGCTGCTTCTGCTTCTCTACAGCTGACCTATTCCTCGTTTGTTTTGGCCTACCTACTTTCCTCTTTCATTTTGGATTTCATTCTAGTGCCTGCCCTGTGATGTTGCTAGTTATCTCATAATAAAGCTACCAGCGATGGTGTTGTTGTCGCTTTTTGTTACAATTTTAAAATTTAGAATGTCATAAATATCACATAAGTACGTTTTTAAAAATCGTCATTGTATATCAAAATCAATATATATCAATACATCACGTGGAATATTGTTTTGAACACCCCATGACAATGTGACTGTTGAAGACGCTTCATTACTTAACAATCACAAAATATTAGTGGGTTTTTTTTTCTCTGGGTCAGCTCATACCGCTTGTTACAATTGATCAAAAGGAGCACACGCAATCATTTCTATGACTCAAATCAGAGATGGACAAGGAGGCGTCTAGCTGAAAAGGTACCCATCAGAGCTGGGTGGACTAGGGGGACGTCTATCTGACCAGGGTGCCCATTTGAGCTTCATGGACAAAGAGACCTCTTGCTGACCCAGGTATCCATCAGAGCTGCATGAACCAGGGGACGTCTTGCTAACCGGGTACCCATGAGAGCTGAGTGGACAATGGGACGTGTTACAAATTCGAGCTCCGGATCTTAACTCGAGCCTCTCCTGTTATTGAGGCTGCTGGACACAACACTGACCACAACACTGACCAAACTATCATTCCATACACCCAGCTGTCTGACACAAATACCTTAAAAAACTCCCGGACTGAAATCATTAGTTCAGGAGTTAGCTTCTCACGTGGTAAACTACGAATGATATATAAACATGCTAGTAGGAAATATATCCTCGCTAATTGATTTAAAAAAATTAAATTCTATACTTTTTCTAAAACATTCTCAAACCTAATTAAATAAATAAATACACTTTATATGAATATTTATTGCTGTACTGTCTTTGTAGAGACAGTTCTTTTTATTCCTTAATGATTCCATAGAAATCGCCTGTATGAAAAATACGTTTTAAATTGACTTGTGATAAAGTATTTCCTCAAAACGTATAAAAAATAAAATTGTACAACTCAATTAAAGGGGATTGGGGGGGGGGGGGATGGGGGGAATTTTAATTAACATCCGATTGGGTTTTCTTTACCGTCGAGAAGTCGTGAGTCAGTTTTTCTTAAAGCCTGGACATTGCGAAATCGCCCAGTAATGCTAGAGTAATCAGGCCAGCTAAGCATAAACTGTCCAGTATTTTACCCGTTTCCAATGTAGCGATTTCTTTCTTAACTCTTCGGAAGAATCCTTTTCCGATGACAATGCAAGAATATTGTACTTTTAATTTATTCATGTCATTAAAATAAATTTAAAGATCATTTCTTTAAATACCAAGAAAGGGGATAACAAGATTTAACAGTAGCGATCACTTTATCAGTCAGGTGATTTTGAGTTCAACGCCAATGTTAACAAATCGTTGTATACAAGGCAAACTACTGATACGCAGACGATAGTACTTCTGACTAGAGTTCCATTGAATTTAAAATAATATATTATTGACATTAATTCGTTATGGTATAAAGCATTTATATTCAGGGACTTTAGTCATTTTTGTATTGACTAATGAACGAAAAAATTAGCAAGATTAAATATTTAAGTATCAACTTACGCCTCCATCTTTCAATAGCTAAACACTAAAAAGTAAAAACGTATTCAAGTGATATTAGCTTTAATTTTTGCTTTTATAGCTAGATCTAGAATCTAGATACAATTTACGTGTATTTTCTAATTTTATTGCATGTAAAATGCTATTTTAAAACGTGTTTTTTTTTCTTCATAGGCACTGAATTAAAACTTATTCCAAAGCAATTCCCAAAACTAACGCTAAGGTTGATTCAGCCAGGGATTTAATTTAAAAAAATCTCCCTAAGTTCTGCATGAGCGTGCGTGCTGAATGTCTGGCCAAAGAAAACACGCGCTGTGCACGACTGCGTCTAAATATAAGTCTGAGGGGGCCACGGGCAAAAAATAGATCAGCACTGGAGCGTGAACTGAATTACAATACACATTGTCCTTGCCGGCTGATCAACTTCCGGTGGGCGGTGCCTGAATTTTCCCGCGCTCCGAACATGCTAATCAAACATTTACCCCCGAATTTTTTTTATACCTCCCCCCTACACCACCCCCCCCACACCACCCCCATCCGTCCCACCCTGTCTCCATATCCGGTGCTGAATTTGGTTTTTAGAGTCCGTGGGAAAATTTGACCAGCCCAAATTGTGCTGCAGTGGTTGCAGATGTATACACGATACATGCATGACGAATGTATCGATTCCGTTGATTGGATGTGGGGGTATGAATGGAGGTTGTGATTGGTCGATAACGGGCAGATATGTCCAGAAACTATCAGGGTCAAGGCCGAGCTCATGAAATCAATAGATGTGGAAATAGGCATGCTGTTCTATTGGAATTAATAGATGTGGAAATAGGCACGCTGTTCCATTGGAATTAATAGATGTGGAAATAGGCACGCTGTTCTATTGGAATTAATAGATGTGGAAATAGGCACGCAGTTCCATTGGAATTAATAGATGTGGAAATAGGCACGCTGTTCCATTGGAATTAATTGATGTGGAAATAGGCACGCTGTTCCATTGGATTTAATAATGGTGTCACTTGTCATGTTGCTGTACTGGAACTAATAGAGGTGCAAATTGCGGTCTATTTTAATTAACAGCTTCAGAAAAAAGCCATAATTTTCAACTTGAATTAATTGATGTGCGAATAGGCATGTTGTTTGATTGGAATGAATCCTAAACAAACAAAAATAAAGCTGTTCTATTGGAATTAATAACAACTAATATAGAAATGCTTTTCTATAAAATCAATAGGTCTGTGTTCGATTGTAATTAATAACTTTGGGAATAAACTTACCTTTTTTTCCCACTGCTAATTAGTGTAGGCGTGGCTATGTCTGAGTTAGTAGCGGGAATGATTACAGTTCCAGTTAAATGAGGTGTGCCTGTTTGGATCATGCAGTCTCCTAGTTTTAACGAGAGTTCAATAAATCTAGTCGATCGAATCATGTACTATTGTATTTATAGTTCTAGTCCAGTGTAGCTTGGATGTTGACTGAAGATAAATCAAGTAGTTATGTATTTTAGTTGAGGTTTAGTAAAATATTTATGTTTTTCAAAAACAGAAAGCCCAAATATAATAACAGAAGATAAATATTGGTGCGTGTTAATTCAATAATGTTCGGATGTTTTTCAAAACCAAACAGCCCTCGAAAAATGACAGATGATGTGTTTGTTTTAGTAAAGTTTTGATGTATTCCTAAAGCAAAAAGCCCTAAAAAAAATGTCTGAATACAATTTAAATGGTGCTGTGTGGGAAATGAAGTTGACCATTGGCAGCGAATGCAT